TTTTTAACAGGTTTTCTCAAAAGCATCTTCACCAAATTATGTTTTTACGTCAGATAAGAAAGATGGCCTAGCAACGGGTAAAAAAAATGTAGCGAGATCAGGGCTCGGCACGAGGTGGCTTACAAGCAAGCTGGATATCGTTTTTGGGACGAAAAGCAAAGGGGGTTTCGTTTTGTGACCGAAGAGACACGGAAAATTGGCGACGGCGACCTTTTTTTTTAGTCGACGTTTCGTTTTTTGGGGGATTTTGGGGAATTTTTCAGGTTTTTAGAGGAAATTTGGTTGAGGGTCAATGGGGACTTCGTAAAAATTCCCAAAAGTCAAGGGGGACTTCGTTTTTTCCATTTTCATCTAGCCACCTCGTGCCGAGCCCTGAGCGAGATCCCATAACCACTGGCTTATTGAGTGTTACTGGATTATTAACTGTTCCCAGAAGTTTAGATGTTTTGTGCGGGGTATGAAAAAAGTTTGATTTTCCGGTTAACTATTCTTATTTTTATTTTCAAGACAAAAAACTTTGATTTTTTTTACTTTAGTTTTTGAAGTGTTTGCCTAGACTTACTGTTGTTTTTCTTCCCTTCTCGATCTGAACTCTAATTGATTTCAAACAGAGTTGTTTTTTCTGGTGGACTGAAGCCGTACATACAAATTTTTATTGTTTCAAGTGGATTGAACTAAAAAGCTCCTGACATTGAAAGTGCTCGTCTTATTATTTTGCCCAACATCAATTTCAACTGCGGACGGTGTTTTAGATTTTAGTTATGGTCATGGAAAAACTGAGTGTGACGTGAGGATACCAAGAAATTAACAGAAACTTGAGTCGAAACTCATCAATACGAAAGCGGAACACTACGAAAACTTGGTTTACGCAATCTTTCATATCTTCTTAGTAATATTGCAATTTTATTCCAAATCAGCATGCAAACTCCCAAGAATAAAGGAATGGGCTGTCTAGTACAAAACCTGGCATTGATAGTGCTAAATTCAGTTAAGAAAATTCTGCTAAGTTATACGGAAGCAATATTATTCAGCGAAGGTCGAATTGTAGTTCCACTTGAAATGCATTACATGTTTCGAAAAAAAAACTTGCGTGATGATTTGTCTATATTCGCAGGTGACGTCACATCAATCTCCTTTGTCTTAAGAAATACCATCAAAATTGATTCCGGTGATTTTCGTTTTTCATGGCAATTATGCGAACAAGAAAGACGAAAAAGTAAGGCCAGCCGAGAAACACAAGAAGAAAGATTGCAGAGAAAAAAAGCAAAGTGACGATTAGAAATGGTTCCACATGACAAAATTTGTAAGATTAAGTGTGTGATTTTTTTGCAGGACAGAACTAACTCAACTGTTTGAAACACTAACTCCGATTAGTACGGATATGTAAGAACAACAAACCACGACAACGAGTTTTATATCATTTTCGCATTATTTATGAAAAACTCAGCGACGCGGATATTCTGCCCACTGGCCCTAATAATTTCACGGATGGATATAGATTAGTGAAGTGAACTGTGGTCAGATTTTCTCACTTTTACCCAGCCTAATATTGCATTGAAAAAAAGGATAACGCTGGTGAAAGAATTCGAACTCGTTTCCCCCTTCCCGCACTCGAATATCTAACGATCAAAATTCATGTAACTGTTAGGGTTGTTTCATACTGCCGCACTGACTGCAGCAGTCTGCACTGACCGCAGCAGACTGCAGCAGACTGCAGCTGACCGCACTGACCGCAACGACCGCAGCGGCTGTATCACGCAGGCGGAGAGGATAAATAGTTGTGGTTTAAACAAATAACAACAATATATACGTAAAAGCAAAAGACAACACGGTTTAGAATGTTGCAAAACAGGTATATGCAATGATAGGAGGAATTAGAACAAATACGAATATACCAAAGAAAACTATCGCCAAAACTTGATTGAGAAGAATTCTGATGGAACTTATAATCTTCTTATGAGTAAATCACACTGTTTTGGTAATCGGTTGTTTTCTTTTAAGAATAGAAGCTGCGACCAGTGCGGTCAGTGCGGTCAGCTGCAGTCAGCTGCAGTCAGTGCGGCAGTCTGAAACAACCCTTAGGTTGCCTAATGAATAATTTCGTTTTGACACGCAATTCCGAGCTCTAAAACAATTCAAGTGACTTTTATACAACTATGAATTTTGTGAAAAAAGTGGCTTCAAGCTTAATGTCACATACTCATTGCATAAAATTTTCTATCGTGACAGACATTATGTATCTAAACTTCTAAAAATCACTATTTTGACTTTCCGAGTTCTGTTCTCAAGCTGAGATGAGTAGTTTGATTATAAAATATAAATAATCTTTGGTTATATGGCGGAAAACCAAGATTGTGACCTGCTGTTTGGGAATTTTTACAGCCAAAAATGTGAAAGTTTCTAGGCATTTACGCACACATACTCATTACATAAAATTCCATTTTTAGATGGTCCAGATCGCAGACTATTTTTGGATGGTCCAGATTGCTCAAATTTGACCATCTATGGCCATGGAAATGGTTGAAAAAATGAAAATCATAGGTGTACGTAAAGCACTGTGCACGCATTCTTAGGTTGTTTTGTGAAGCATGATTTTTCAGAATTTGATGAAGAAATCTGGCTTTTTATGCTTCCCGGCACCATTTCGTCATAAATAATAAGATTTTTGTAAACAATGTTAATCATCCTATCCTATTCTCATTGATTTGCTCTTTCCAATCGTAGCATATATTTATACATGCATCAATGTGTTACATTTCAAAAACTCTCAAAAACGAGCAAATAATTTTTACCTAACCTGATATTATAAAAAACCATCTTTCAGTGCCCCTATCATCCAGCTAAAAGAGATTTAGAGAACGATTTCAATGATGATGATAATTTCATGATAATGATTAATTTGTAATGATTTCAATTTGATTATTTTACACAATTGCTATCGAAAAATTATCATATCTCTTGATTACTACTAGGTCACTCGAATCATTATTTTACTTTTGAACTTCGTTATTTAAATTTTCCTCTATAGAAAAATTTTCCGCAGCGATAAACATTTCCTAAGTCCCGGATGACGATGAAACACGTCTGCCTCGCCTTGAATGCATAATCTGCTTTTTCTGCTCTTTCTTCTCTCACCCTTTCCCCTTTCCTCAACAGTAGCCATTATATGCAGAATCAATAACTTTTCTTAGTTGCAAAGTTATTTTGCGACTTATGTTCGCGTTCCCTCACTGCACTTTGAGCATTCGCTCTAAAAATATCGCCGCATGAATAGTTTCTTTCATAGAAATTACATTACTAAGCATTGTCTGGAAAAAAACCGAAGGCAAGTAGTTTAATTCCTTCATAATAAGATTTTGCAAGTGGACTGGACAATAATAGACGTGAAATCACAAAAAGGAGCACGGTTATCTTATCCCAGATATGCATACTTTATTTTAGCTCTTCTCCGCTTCCCGTCTTTTCGTAATTCCAAACAGGGTCCGGCACGAGGTGGTTAGTTGAAAATGCAAAAAACGAAATCCCCCCTGGCTTTTGCAAAATTTCACGAAGTTCCTTTTGATCCTTATACGAGATATCCGAATTGACCAAAAAACGGAACGTCGACTAAAAAAATCTAGATTCGGACCCACAAAACCGACAAACCCTTTGGTTTTTGCCCCTAAACGATATCCAGCTTGGTTATAAGAAGCTTGTGCTGAGCCCTAGTCCGGTGTTTTTGAACTTTCAAATACAGCACTTCGAAAAGCCCAGCAGAGCAAATTGGGGAGCAAACTAACTAGACAACCTTGGCTCTAATTTTCTGTGGATTGAGCCCCAGCTAAGTGGAAATTTGATAGCAAGTTGGACATTGCAAGAATCTAACTTCTTCCACAATGACGCACGAGTGTTTCATAAATTAGCGTTTGTGGCAATTCCTTGAAACTACAGAAATATTAGTTTGATTATGTTATTGTAAAAAAGTATACTGTAACAAACACTCAAAAGAGGCAGCGTTCGGCTGCACGAAGAGTAATCATCTCGATTTGAAACTCTTGAAGTAAATTGATGATAGGGTTAGTGAAAGATAAATGCTAAGGCATAAAATTTAGGGAAGAAACGATTGTGGAGAAATGATGAGGAGCTTGTAGGAAGGGGGTTTATTCTAACAGCTGTTTCGCCGAATGGTAAGAGCAAAACTGCCCATATTCGCATGGATTAGAATAGGATTATCGGTTTCAAAATCAACAAAACGAGATGGAGCGATTGAAATTAAAATCGTTGAGCAGCGTGGACACAAAGCAAATTCAGATGAATCATTCATCCGACAGATGAGCAATTTGAGGGATCACATTTCGATGTAAAATGGATGTAGACATATCCATGGTTTCAGGGGTAAAAAAGCTGCAGCGTTTTTGTTCGCGGAAATTGAGAAGCTTGCGAAAACGAACAAAATCGAAGGAAGGGGAAGAGCCGAGGCGAAAACGGATAACAAAAAGAAAGAACACGAAAATGTACCCAGGAAAATAAAAGATGATATAACGATTCTCCTCATGAGGGTCCATTTTGCTTTTTCTGGGATTAAAAAAATGGAAAGGAATCGAAAAATAGCAAGTTCTGGCATGAATAAAGAAAATTTTTCGAGATATCAAAATTGTGCCAAAACCAAAGATGCGATTTGGAATGGCATGATGAGATCTTCGGCGCAGAAAAGGCACATCGCTTAGAAAGAAATGAGATCTTCGTGAGAAAACGAATTTTTCGCTAGAAGCGGCCACGTAAGGCTCAGAGTTGGACGAAATAAATGGATTTGTCGGTGGATATGATGGATGAGATTGACAAGGGGCACTCTGAGGGAAGTATACTTCTCTCAGAGTGTGTAGATAGCATTGATTCGCAATGGAGAAATATAAATACTTGCAGAATAGCATAGAAATGAAGAATCTTAGACGATATATGGTAGGGAAGCGAGAAACAAAATGATGAGCACGAATGAATAATATATGTAAAAATATTCCCACCGTAAATTTGCTTGTTGAAGGCACATTTTGGGCGATTTCGGCGGCAGCTTGTTTTGCCTGCAAAATGAACGGAAATTATGCTGCATTTAGCAATAAGGGCCGATGCCGTCGATGAATTAGCCGACGGCATCGCCATGCGCAATGACTCGCGATAGCCGAGGGAATAGCTGAATATCGTTTACACAATCCTAACCCAGCCAACAGCTCACTTGCAAATTGTATGGGTTCTTAGCAATGGCGAACAATAGCTGGGAAAAAGGGTGAAGGCGTGCAAGTTGCACAGGCGAGAAAGCGCGCTCTAACAATAGCGCTAGCGGAAGTGAGGCGGCTCTTTCGAATCAACGGCTTCAAAGGGGTCAAGTGGGGCAAAAACGAACCTTGCCGAGGGCACCAGAGGCGAACTTTCCGAGGCCGGAGAGGCGAAAGCGGCCTCCCTGGCTGGAGTCCAGCATGCCACCAGAAGACGTGCGATCGATGCCAGCCTCCTGAGTCCTGCCCCTCGTCACAGCAACGATCGATGGCTCAGCTAAACAGAACAACGTTGACTGACGCGCTCGGATTCAAATCTCCAAAACAAGCAATGAATCGCAGCTGCATCCGGCCCCACGATAAAACCCTACTCTGCTTTTTGGCCGCTTTTATTCATGTTGATCTATAGTCGAATAAAGTTCTTTGGTAACTTGTGCAACTGCACTTCATACGCACCGCGAGTAGTTGAACGCACATTATACAGGGTGTCCCAAAAAGATGTGCACACTGTTTGATTTTGAATAACTCTCTTATTATGAGGTGTGTTGAAAAGCGGTAAGCACCATTTTGTAGAGCTGGCTTCAACTTAGATTTACAGTATAGAGCGAATCACCGACCGCTCTTCGTTACTGTAGGAATACGGTAGAAACTTGGAACATATGGTGTCAATGTGGAAAAAGCTGCCGTTTCAAAAATTTTCAAAAAGATGTGAAAACTTGTGTAATAGGGTTTTTAGGAACGCTGACTTCAATACTCAACTATTCTCAAGATTGCGAAGCTTTCTAAACGGTGTAACCGCACTTTTTAGGAACATTGAGAAAATGGCCGCTACTGCTTACCTCGCATAACTCTTCAGTGAAACATCATAATAAGTTGGGAACTTTACAGTTAAAATCAGCAACTCTAATTGGCTTAGTGTAAAAGTTTTCAGGCTGTTTTATTTCCTTTCTGAGGCAAAATATGGCCTTTTATGGTCAAAACCCTCTTTCAAGTTTCTACCGTAATCCTACAGTAATGAAGAGAGGTGGGTGATTCGCTCCATACTGTATATCTAAGTTGAAGCCAGCTCTACAAAATGGCGCTTACCGCTTCTCGAAAGACCTCATAATAAGAGAGTTATTCAAAATCAAACAGTGTGCACATCTTTTTGGGACACCCTGTACATTCCAAAAGTAATATACTCACTGTTTGAATAATAATAACTTTCTCGCCTCAAGTTCTTCAATGGATAGATATCAACATGGGATTATGTAGAACTGGCTTCAATTTTGATTCATAGTCGCTTTGCTACTGTAGGACTACGGTAGGAACATTGCAGGAGGCTTGATCATTGCAGAGCATTATGCCGAGGAACAGGATTCGAAAAATCTGGATGCTCTTCCAATCAAAAATATGATTACTCATTAACAACTAGAGATCAGTAAAATAGAGGCCAGGGTGAAATGCCAAAAATTAATTTGAAATTAGATCATTACTCGGCTGTAAAGATTTCTTGTTTTTTTTTTGTTGAGGGATTATTGGCTCATAGCTTACAGCTTTTTTAGATTGCCAACAAATTTCAAACTAACAAGTAGATTTTTTTCCCGTAATAGAGCTGATTATTCTACAGAATTATACCCAAAAGTCTCCTAAAGACTTCAAGGTAAGAAATTTACCAGACATTCAACACTGTGCATACATGGCTTTCGGTATCTGTTTGGGTGCAGCTAAGAACTATATACCTAGTACAAATCATCTAGATGTGCAACTGCACAAAATAGCAAATTTGGCTATGCACGAGCTATCCTTAATTTCAGTATGCGCGAATGCACACATCATCCATGAAAGGCTTGCTATCGCGGAATCTGGCTATAAAAACAAATTTTTTTAAAGTGCACGCTTTTCTTCAAGCCCGTGTCGAAAAGTCATTTGTCAACGATGTTTCCGAACATCTATAAAAGACGACTACTGGATAGCAGTGGCGGTCCGGGGGGTAGGGGGGGAGGGAATGGATCGCGACATTTTTGAAAGTTACTTAAGGTGTATAAAAATGTGCAAGTGAGTAGTTTACACATGTAAACCATTAAAATAATTTTTAAAATTTTTTAAAAGTTCAAATTAGCCTTGTAAAAAGTTTTTTCGGATTTCCGAGGTCATGGGCGCGCAAAAATTTGAATTATCCCAAAAAATTTTTCGGAGGAGTGGCTGAGGCCGTGCACCTTCACTCAAACTGAATTTTCGTCGCCCCCCTCCTCCCTGTCGGAAATCCTGGGATCGTCACTGCTAGATAGGTACGCATAGTATGGATGGAGCATGCATTGACACACATTGAGATACGAGATGACGAGACCCGTAACTATCGCATTAACAATGAAGAGGTAAATACCAAACCAGCACTCGTTTGAGAGAAAAAAATTCTTCAAAAAGAAGCAATTTCGATGCAATTTAGTACGCTAACCGAGCTCGTATCGTTATGCGATGCTCTTTTTGCTTGCGATATGATGACGATTGCATATGAATTCGATAGCATCATATGTCATCCAAAGTGCCAACACACTTCCATTGTATAGGCTTATAAAACCGCGAAATTAAAAAAGGCATTGGTTTTGAATCGATGACGTTTCGTGCCATTTAGAAAGAAAAGGAAATTTGGCATTTTAAGAAAAAGTAAATGTGATTTCAAGGTCTGTATATTTTCGCTAAATTTCGAGACAAAGTTCTTAAATTTGTTAACCGCATTAGCCAAGCAAGAAGTACGTTTATACCATGCGTTTAAATAGGCGAGAAAATAATTAGGAATAAGGGATCAAATTCAGCGGCTTGTCCGCACGCGCACCAAATAAGGACGAAGCAAGAACACCGATGCGAAGGAGCCCAAAAACGAAAACAGACATAGGAGAAGACTGCACGGGCGGAGAAATTATAGGCAAAGTTCGCGAACTGCGTTTTTCGAGAAACACACAAAGATGGGCCAGATTTCACGAAACCTCACCATCACGCGCTCTGACAACGGAAAAGAAACACATAATCGCACACGCAAAGTTCGCAATTAAACATTTCCGCTTGGTTTTTCGAATGTTTACCTACAGATAAGAGGATAGGAGAGAATAAAAAAGGTTTTTGTTGTTGGAATTTTCCTATTTGCTCTGAGAGAATCGCAGGAAGGCAGGAGCGTAATCAAAGGAAGGCAGACATGTTTTGGGGGCGCTTCCAATATTGCACTGACTTGCGCAAAATAGTGAGTACAATGCATTTACGGGAAGGGAGGGGGGAGGGCGCGGGATGCACAACTCACCGCCAAAGAGGCTTCACCTTCGCTCAAAATTAGTGTGACTGACTTCGGCGCGCAGCCAGCCTACAGTACTACGGTAGGGAGGCGTTGTCCGCAAAAGCAGAAAACCAGTTTGCCGCAAAGATTAACTCGAACTTTGAAGCTATCTTATATTGCATTTCATTATTTTTCGCCAGATAATTTAATTCTGAACGTCTGCATTGAATTAAGGCGGATTAACTCGCTTATGAATGAATTCGCAAAGTCACACTAGAGCCTCCGAGCGTGACAAATAAATATGAGAATGTAAGATATTCCATCAGCATTAATGGCAGATTCTAACCTTCACATGTACTTTTGCTCTGCCGCACACTGTCACTGAAAGGTCTCTTACATTAGCAGAAAATGTGAGAAGAGAATCGATCAGTCCGGTGTCTGCAGCCGTGCCTTTCTAACCTCTTCAAAGTTCGCGAAGAGGTGAACGTTTAGCAATTTTCAAGCTCAACAAGAAGCGCTTCCAAATTGTCTTCCCAAGGCGCTTAATACTTTTTATGAACTCAACTCTGAATCCACTAAGGCAACTGACGAAACTATCTTCCAAACGATTTCCAAGCTCGCTCTTTGCTATGACACAAACTCAAGCAAAACCTTGAGAAAGTGCAAACCCCTATGGTATTAGGTTACATAGCACTCTAGAGAATTTCAGGGATCCTGCACAACTAGCCATACTATTTGCATCACTTTTAAGGAATGTTGGAGTTTTTCTTTCGCGAATGCAGTCGACCAGAAGCTGAGGGAGCTGAGATGGAAGGCGTGATAAACAAAGGAAGAACTAGCATACTGCAGTAAAAAATAACAAACGCATAGCTGACTAGCTTACTCAAAGCAAATGCGGGCTCACTTCTCCATTTCGTTATTTCAAAATGACAATTTTACGACCTATAATTTTTCCGCATTACCGCAAAAGTGCGCCTATGGTGCGGATACGAGATTCTAGAACACTCAGACAATCGCAATGTCTTTCGGGGCAAACCGAAGTTCTAAAACTTCCGCGGAGACACTCCTATTGGATCTGCCAGGTAGGGCGGAGACAGGTAGGACGGGGCCCACCTACACGGCCCAATAGGAGTGTCGCCCCGGAAGTTTTAGAAGTTTAATTGCCCCGGAAGTCATTTGCAATTGTCTGAGGATGAAATCGTTGTTCACCGCATTTAAAATCTTTGGGCTTATAAAAATGTGCCCTAAACTACGCCTCAATCCAAAAACCTGTTTCGTAATGATTTTCATGGTTAGGACTCAACTATAATACATAAAATAAGTCTTTACGAGTTTTTTCCAGAAAATTCTTCTGCAAATTAATCTGCACCCTTTTCGTTTACTATTAGGTTGGCTAGAAAATAATTTCGTTTTTTCATGCGAACCTCCATAAAAAGTTTTCTTGTTGTTTTTTATCCTTGATTCTTAAGGGAAGTAGAACAAAGCTTCTAATATCACGTGTTAACCAGTGGAGTTTCTACTATCAATATGCTTCAATCTGGCCAAACTACGAGAGCTCAGTTTCAAAAATTTGCAGGGTTCGTTTTCAGCTGCAATGGATGTAGAAAGGATAAATTGATATTTGGATACAGCAAAGTTTTCTCTGTCTAGAGAATAACGATTGAATTTGTGATCTATCACTTAGAAAAATTTCATAATTGAGAAAAAAAAAGAAATTTTCCCTCATTTGCTAACTGAGAAAATTGCGGCTTCTCACTTCTTTGCCTCTCCTTCTTTAGAACAAATTCTATGCAAGCAAGAATGTACAAACCATTTTTCACTAAAGTGCTCTTTCCAGAAATGTGAAACATTAGACAAAAATTGGTCTGCAGCTTTTGCAGGAGCCTCAAAATTGACCGAATTTACTTCTTAGCCAACCAATAGATAATCCCGGAGAGTGTTGAGAGATCAAAACCTCTTGCATCAAGATATTAGTTGCAGATGCAAACTTCCAACTTTGGTAAGGAGTTTGAAGGAAGCACCGAAACAGAAAAAGTAAAATTTGTTTTTTCTTCGCATTTATAACAGCAGTGTCCTAATCTCGAAAAAAAAATCAAGTACATACCAGAGATCATATGTACTATACCATCCACATACCATTTTCAATAGATGCAATATCCTCATCAAGATAATGATCGTTGACGACAGAAGACATCTCTTCGATAGCTGTGATATCACTGGAGAGGAGTTCAGATGACGCTGACATCTGCAAATAGGACTGAATTGAGATGTACACTCCATCTTATCAAAAATGTATGTGAAGAATGGTAAGCTGCTTTGAGCTGCGTCATTGAAAGTCAGAATGAGTAGCACCTTTTCTGTCTAGGTTAAAACACAAAAAAGGTCTATAGTAGTGCGTTAATTTCAAAACATCCACACCTTACTGTGAAACTATTCAACTAGCAGGTGAAGTTGAAGGATAAGAAATAACCTTCACAAAAAATGGTAAGAGCTAATCGCTAATCAAAATATGGTCTCCAAGATAAAAATTGGACTTCCTCAATGTGCTCACTTCATGTGCACTGCAATGAAATAAAAGTAACTAAATATGCAAACCTTCGGCTTGAGTTCTTCGGCTTCAGACACGAAGTATGGATACTTAATTGTTTCGACGTGCTCGTTCACACCCTCTTGAGCTTCTTGAAATATTACCACATAAGAACTACACCAAAAACATTATGAATAGAATACTAACCTGGCAAGCGTTGGTCTTCCATTCCGTGATCTACTACATCCCCAAGTGCATCCTCATTTTCTTCGTCTGCTATGGATTCTCGCAGGAATGATAATTGTTCCTCATACCATTTCCCGAGACTCGGGGTGCTCACCATCTCAGGAATTGACTTAATGTCAAACTCTCCAGATTTCGTACTTGTGAGCTGACGACGTTGGAATGATCCGCGACTGCTTGTGGGTGAAATCTGCTCCTGAAGCTCTCCAGAGTCAGGTTCTCGTTCTTGTAAAAAGTCATCTACTTCATCTGCTGGGAAGGCGTCTGCAATCTTTTCAGGAGATAGCTCCTTCAGAGCAGGATGCTCTACCAGAGTAAGCTCCGTTTCTTCTTGCAGTGTCAGCTCGGTAATACGGTTGATATGATCTAGTTCTTCCTGTGTGAGCTGATTTGATGCTGGTTCGGAGATGGGCTTAGCTTCTACGACTGGTTGCATTTTATCCTTTGCTGCGTCTCCTCGTATACCAGCACTCACGTCACCCAGTGCATTCTTTATTGCTTCTGTTTTATGCATGGCATCTTTGAAAGTCTTCAACCCAAAACCAGCGAACGATGCCGGCTGTGGAAGTGATGGTGCAGGCGATGGAGCGATACGTTTTGGAGCCTCGTCTGGAAGTGACATGTTCGTTTCTTTTTTTGGCATGGGCGGTTGAATATCCTGTTGAGCCAGTTGACTGATATAAGCTATGTGATCCAACTCTTCTTGTGTAAGTTCTGTAGCGCTAGGAGCAGGAGAACTTACTCTGAAGGGGGCCAAAGCTTCGCTTTCCTGGTGGGCCATTTCCGTTATTCGCTTGATATGGTCAAGCTCCTCTTGAGTTAATCCGCCGTGTTCTGCAGGCCCAGGTGGAACTGGAATTACTATTTCTCCTACGGCCATAGCCTCGATTTGTTTGATATGATCAAGTTCTTCCTGAGTGAGTCCAGCTGGTGCCACCGTAGATGGGGGTTTCATGAATACTTCCTCCTCCGCTGCCATTTCGGCTACTTTTCTAATGTGATCCAATTCAGCTTGTGTAAGACCTCCTTCATCGGATACTTCTCCGATGGTGCCGGTTGGAGGTGCAGGAGTCGGACCGAACTCCTGAGGTGCTTTCGGACTTTTGACAGTGGTCAAATCTTCTATGGCGCTCTTGGCCTGTTCTGCTTTTTGCATTGCACCTTTGATGGTCTTCAAACCGAATCCAGTAAATGACTTCACTCCGAAGAGAGTTGTGCCTGCCTGGGGTTGTGGTTTAGGCTCTTCAGCTGGCTCCGGAGTAGAAATTTTGGTGACTGATTCTTGACTTACAGCCGTATCCAAACCAGAGTGAGCTCCACCACCCAGTGGATGGAAACCCATTCCAGCTTCTTCCTGCATAGCCAGCTGGTTGATGCGGTTGATATGGTCTAGCTCTTCTTGACTTATCTCGTATTTATCATCATGCACCGAATCAGTGCCCGTTTCCATAACGTGCGACTCCTCAGATTCTCTTCTGGATTGAGTAACTTCTTTGGTGATTTCTGGCGTATTCTCGTCAGGCTTAGGTTTTTCTGGTATAGTCGCAACATTCGAAGACAAGGTCTCCAAAGCATGCTTTGCCTCTCCAGCTTTCTCCATTACATTTTTCAATGATTTTGTGCCAAACCCAGACAAGATACCGAATGAGGGTATTGCTGATTTCTTGTCAGATTCTTTGCCATAACCTGCATCTGCGCTTGGTTTTCTACTTGATTCGGGGCCTGCTTGTAGGCCGTACCCCGGCGGAGCGAAAGCATCACCTTCTGCAGCCATCTGAGTAATTCTGGCAATGTGATCAAGTTCTTCTTGAGTGAGTTCGCCTGATACAGAAGCAGCACCGGCTCCTGCAGAGACCTTTTGAGTTAAATTGCTTTCTTCTCCCATAGCAAGCTGGTTTATGCGATTTATATGATCAAGTTCTTCTTGGGTAAGTTCACCTGACGCAGGAACAGCACTGGGTCGCAGGGGTTCTATAGGGGTTCGCTGAGGTGCACCACCTTCTCCCGTTGCAAGCTGATTTATGCGATTTATATGATCAATCTCTTCTTGAGTTAGGTCTTGCTGACTAGGTAAGCTCTGCCGCTGACCAGAGGCCCCAGACACCTCACCAATCTTGTTGGTGACTTCACCAAGAGTCTTCTTGGCTTCCTCTGTTTTACTCATCACATTCTTCAAAGTCTTGGCACCAAAGCCAGCGAGACCTCCAAAGGCAGATGAGACCGACGAAGGCCTTTCCTTGGAAGCAGATGCTGCGATTTGCGGCTCGGGAACCTTAGCACCAACAAAGGCTTCCTCACTCATAGCCATTTGTGTTACACGGTTGATGTGATCGAGCTCTTCCTGCGTCAGCTCTGTCGAAGCAGATGCTAAAGTTGATCGCGGTGATGTTGCAGGCTCTGATCGAGCATCCTTGGCCGAAACTGCTGTAGAGCTGATTTGGCTCTCCTGTCTAGGAGCAGCAGCAGCCTTCTTCTCTTCGATTTCTGTCGAAGTCACTGCACGACTGGGTCGAGGAACGTCCATATCCTGCTCAGCCAGGATCGCAATTTTACGAATGTGTTCCAGTTCTTCTGCCGTCAATTCACCTTGCTGAGGCAGTGAAGGTTGGCTTGAACTTGGTTTAGGTACTTCAGCTGGTCGCTTCTCAGCATCGGTAGAAATTGCTTCCTTCGCAGTCATTACCGCCTGTGTTGCTTTACCGAACAGGGATTTGAATCCTCCAAGGGAAGAGCCAAAAGCTTGAGATGGAGACTGCTTTCTCTTCACCTGACTCTCTTTGGTCTGCTGCGTTACTGGAGGGGGTCTTTGCTGGTCCGACCCACGAAGGTCATCTCTAGCTGCTCTGATTTCCCTTGCGGTCACTGACGTCAAGTCAATCTCAGTGCTAAGGTCCTCAAGTTCGAGAGGCTTTGTTGGGTCCTGCACAGCCCTGTCCTCTTCGGATTTCTTGCGTTTTTCGACACGACGAATAGCATCGTCGATGGAGCGGATTTGTTGGTCAAAGTCTTCGTCTCGAGACGGGGCTAGAGACATGCGCTCCGACGAGTCTGTTCTTCCTGACATCTGGTGAGGTATCGACCTCCTGATAACATAGGGAGTCCGTTGCTCAGCCTTTTCGAGCACATTTTGGATGTGTTGACGTTCTGTTTGTGACAAATTCTCCATATCTGGTAACACCTGCAGCGCCGAAGAGCTCCTGAAATCGTTATATTCATTTACTCATTCATTGTTTTTTTTTTCGCTACTCGTGTTCAGCTTTCTCCTGCGCAACCAAAAATGCACACAAATACGAGCAGTTCTTGGAAACTGTCATTTGCGCAAAACTTTGACAGACCAATTCTTTTCAAACTGAAAATGGAGATTCAAAAAATATCGGTCATTAACGGGCGAACTGGACGCTATTGCGGACTTCTACTCTCTATCAAGCAGAGCCGCATACAGTGACAGCAGCGAAAATGTACTCGATAACCAGAAACGTGGAGATCGCAATAATTTAGTGTGTATATGTGGCAGTTTGGCGTTTGGGGAATGCAAAAAATTTTTCTAAGGAAGGCGTCAGCCACTCCGAAAAATATTTTGGTGTGCCTCCCAAAACTTCTGCGGGCCCACAACCTCGAAATTCTAGGAAAAGGGGCGTGGCGTTCGCGACTCCTCCAAAAAAATTTTTTAAGGGTAAAGTTAAATTTTTAAAACATTCAAAAATTATTTTAATTATTTACAAGAAGCAAGTCATTGCGACATGGTCGGCCCGCCAAGGTTAGAGACGCAGAGTCGCTGTGGGATCCTACGGTCACAAGTGTGTGTGCATAAGTGCGTACTCTAGCTTGGATTTCGAAATCGGCGGGTGTGCGGGAATTCCGTTGGACGTTACTTGAGCGACAAGCTTCTCAGACCCCCTTTTCGCTGCGAACTTCAGCTATCTTAGGTAAACCAAGGGGTCTTCCACTACACTGCTACAAAGGTCCAACACTTCCCACTTCGAAGGAGTCGCTGTATTCAAAGGCAGCGGGTAGATCCGAAACGTAAAGGGCGCCCGTGCTGGAAAAACTCTTGCCCAACTGGCAATGCACCAATTTGCTTTTGAAGCGAGAAAACCGCTTCAGAAGCGGCGACTGGAAAGCCAGAGCCAGATCGCACACAAAGGCGTAGGGTCTCAACGACTCTGCGTCTTAATCTTGGCGGCAGGCGTCAAAATTTAAACCGAAGGCTTTTGAAATTTACATCAAGGACTTCTCGAAAAGTCCGTTTCCGACGTGCGCGTACTCTCCGAGCTGCATTTTCGAAATAAGCGGGAAGTATAAGCACAGATAAGCGAAAAAATTCCGTAATTCTGCGGGACGCTGCCTTTAACTTCGGATTTGAGTCGTTGAAGCTTAAAGGCAGTGGGTCAGCAGAATGAGACCCGTGGCAAGACAAGGTCACAGGGTAGGAGCCCCATAATGGAACCTGTGGACCAAAGTTCGATCTTTCTCTGCCACTTCTAACCCCGATTTCAAAGCGAAAGCAGCGCTCATCTCCTGTCCTCTCCGAACCCGCCCACCCCACGGACGAGTACGCGAAGCCCGTCATGGCGAAGACGCAGAGTCGTTGCGGGACCTCATGCTTATAGCATTGCGGCTGGCGCTCTGACCTTGGAAGTCACTCGTCCATGGGGTGGGCGGGTTCGGAAAGGACAGGAGATGAGCGCTGCTTTCACTTTGAAATTTCGGGGGTTAGAGGTGGCAGAGAAAGATCGAACTTTGGCCCATAGGTTCCATTAAGGGGGCTCTTACCCTGTGGCCTTGTTTTGCGGTCTCATTCTGCCGATCTACTGCCTTTAAAGGCACCCTCGACCTAAATTCTCAGCTTCCATGTCTTTATCGTCGCGGGGCCTTCTCATGTCCCTGATTCCGAATGTCAAGTCGAGAATTCGCGAAAACCCCGACAAATCCCGTTTCGGAGAACCTTCAGAGCCAGTTGTGCGGAACGCGCTCAAATGGGCGGGACGAACGCCATGCCCACTCAAAGGGAAGGAGCCAAAGGAGCGATATCATCCAAAGCGAACTTTGGAGCAAATTTTTCGCTTCGGAAGCAACTTCTGGCTGCGCGCATTGGGCAAGTATACAGCTGGGGGCCTCACTACTGTTAGGCATCAAATCTCTAGATTTCATTCTGGGTGGACGCGCCTTTAAGGCTAAAATGCAGCATTCTACAGGGATAAAGTTGCTTACCTTCTCGACATGTTGGGCGATGAGTATCTGTTCGATTTGTTCAGTACTGCCATCACATGTTCGAGTTCCGTCTGCGACAGACCTTCCAACGCTTGGTCGGGCAGTCTTATCGGGCTTTCATTGGAGGCACGAGAATCGGCACCAGATGATCTTGAAAGGGTGGTCATGCGAGAGACTCGTTTAGATTAATGTAAATGGCAGTTCGGGACGTGAACTCACCTTCGAAGCAGATTGAGTATACCACTGCTGCTTCTCTCCTCGGACACTTTTCTTGATCTGCTCTCTGGGGTAGACCCTCCAGTAAGAGCGACCTGTGGTATCGAAGGCCGAGATCGATCCCGTGTGCTGGTCTTCCTTGAGAAGAAAGAGAAGAGACCGAAGGATGGCACATCTTTTGGAGCAGGTTCGACTGTATATCCAAAGCTGCAAGTTTGATCATTATTCGCTGCTGTTTTCTTTTGATTATATTTCTCAAATCTCATTTTTTAAACATTTGTCTGGTCATTACCATAGAACTTTGCACATATTTCAACGCGTTCAGCTAAAATCAAACCCATAAACCATGGAACATGAAAGGAAATCCATCGCTACCGCTCAGCTCATGAACGTGCTCACATGCTAAACGCGTCAGAAAATATTGATTGGTTTTAATGCGGTAGCGGGCAACGATTTACCCATGTGCTTTGTTTTTCTCAGTTCCGTTAATAATCTGTTCTTCATCAGTGAGTGCTTATTTTGAGGGCCAATTTTCTCTTTTTATATGTATTGCGTAACTTTCAACTACTTTCTTTGGGAAGTGAGGAGAAGGGAGATTCTATTTTGAAGTTATTCTACTTTAGGCCCCGGGCAGACTTCACGCGATTTGATCGTCGCGACTGAATCGCGAGGAGACAACTGTTACAACATCATTCCATGCAGATCAACTTGCATTCGGTTGTGATACTTTTCCAGACCGAAATTTTTGAATGTGAAATGAAAATGAATGGAAATCTTGGCGATTTGGTCGCGACGATTAAGTCGCGTGAAGTCTGACCGGGGCCTTAGGGCGATGTTCGTTACTATGTAGTCCAAGCGAAATCCCCATCCAAACGTGGCTCAGGCAGACAAAAGTTGCTGTGAAAACTCATCCGAGATTGGAAAGGCTTAGACTCTGACGAGATCGTTCCGCTACTGTAGGTAAAGTTGTGCAATCACAGAAAGGGATTGAAATGAGGATGTTCGAATCGCGGAGATGGAGTCTAGGGTAAGTCCCAATTTCGAAATTTGAGCTAACAAACTGGAACTAGTTATGCTAGATGTGCATGGAATTAGGGAACTGTAAGAGAGTGGCTCAAAATGGTGATTCTGGATTACTGACAAGCGCCGAGAATTGCCGGGTGCGCCATTTCCTCTTGAATTCTGCGATCTCTAGAAAAAGTACATTTGTCTCACACCGAATCAGTCCAAAATTGGTTTGGTACCATGGCGCCCTGATCTTATGTCACAACCGGAAACTGCTATGAGGAGCCATGGCAGGACTTGCCTGCACTCCACGCGTTTACATTGGTGACATTTTATAGTCTGTCTCAATCGGGATGAGGCAGAATTTTGCTCGCTCGCAGCGCTGGAGGTTTGCGCTGCGCATGCACACTGTGAGAGAGAGAAAGAGTGAAGAGATTGACGAGAGAGGGAGAGAGAGAGCAGAAAAGCAGGCTGTAAGCATGTTTAATCTTGGCCTTATTAGGATTGAGACAATCTATACTTTTCATGCTATTCAGTTTACTACACCAAGTCGGGATCCTGGTTTGATACTTTGGAGTAAGGGACTAGTATACACTTTTCGAAGGATGGAACTTCAAAATTTCCCATTTCTGTTAAGAAATCAAAAAGAAAGTGTATTTTTGACGTAGATTCTATTTTTGCTGATTGATGGTAGATGAATGTACTTACCTTGTTGCCTGCTCATCATCCATGCTCGAGTAGGTCGATTGACGCGATAGAGCTGTACCGGCAAAGTAGCGAGCGCGCGGGTTCGCCTGAGCCCTGTAGTGTATTCGCAGTTCTCTTCCAGCTTCGTCCGCTATGTCCTCCGTCAAGCGATTGGCTGCGAAATTCAGTCGACACAGAAAATCGACATTACATAATAAATCTCTGCTGTCTGTAAAGCTGTGTCTTTCGCACAGCTCGTACGCATTCAGATGGGCGTGGCTTTGTAAGCACACATTCGGAACGCAGCTCGAACTTCGAGACGAGCGAAGCTGCTCACGAGTCAGCGCGGCTACGCCATCTTGGACGATCTCGCTGAAGGAACGACGGACTGCTTTCTCCTCTTCGGCATCGTCGACAGTCACTCCTATATCTGGCAAAACCTTCGTTTCGTCTTTATCAACAGTCTCGAACGGATCGGTGAACAGTACATCATCTTCTGGTTCCGAGATCTCACCCTGATGCGATGATTGTGATTCTCGTAGAGAATGATCAGTGTAAATCACATGCACGACAGAACCAGAACCACCACGTGAATGGCTGTCGGCTGTTTCACTACGACTTTCCTCAGTAGCAGAAGTCCGTTGTGGGTACATCGGCGAAGTTTGTCTTGAAGAACCTACACTTCTCACCCGCATATTGGAAGTGTAATTGACTGAAGTGCTTCTACTGAAAGTCTCAAAGTTGCTTGTGCTCTTTGATCCTTTTTTGATGGTGGAAGTAAAGCTTAACGACCTCAGCGATGATAGCTGCTCTGCTCTGGTAAGCGCTTTTGGCAGTGGAGGAGGTGCACCAGTAACATTTTCAGAAGTTTCATGTTCCACAGTTGAAGCATCACGTTGCGGAACTTCACCATCTTCATGAGAACTTGCGCCAAGGGTAGCATTGCGATAACGTTCGATAACACGTAATGCGTCGATTTCATATGCATCTAGTGTGGGGCTATGCGAGATCGCCTCTTCAGACGTAACTTCCTCATGAGGTTGCTCTTGATATGCAAATCTGTGCTCATCCTTGAAAAGGTGTTCAGCATATGGTTGTTCCGTTGGTGGCGGCGGAATGACGTCTTCGCTGCGTCCACCTGTCAGACTGGGTTCGGCAACAGGCAAAGGAGTTGAAGTTTGTTCTGATTTTGCACCCATGCTCGGTTTGTTGATTTCGGTCTCAAGTCCAGCTTCCTTGGACAGCGATTCTTTAGCTGTGATTACCTCGGCGACAATCTTGGTCGCTTCCATCTGAGGCTCTTGTTGTGTCATTGGCAAAGATACGGTAACTTCTTCTGAAGTTTGTGCTTTCAAATCTATGTTCGTCTCTTCGGTAGCGGCTATGGTTCGTTCAGCCGTAACTACCATAGGCAGTCGATCGACGTCTTTCTGTTTGGGCTCAGAACTTTTTTCTAGAGTTTCTTCTTCACCGTAATTTTCTCCTACTTCTAGATGTTCTTGTTCGTGACCCGTAGGAGGAGGTGATACTCTGCGAGGCTCATCTTCATCAAGCGATGAAATATTAGTTGACGAGGGTTGGTCAGCTCCAGAAGTCGGTTCTGACTCTTCTTGCTCTTCTAGGCTGTGTTGTGCTTGAGCGATTCCACCAGTGTTGGAAATTCTTGTCTCCAAAGCCGCTGTTTGTGATCTTACATCTGCGGAACTTAGACGTCCAGACGAAGACTCTTCTGCCCTGCGCAAAACATAGGCGATATGATCTAACTCTTCCTGGGTAAGCTTGGAAGTTCCTTGTGGTTCTGTAGGTAACTCATTTATTTGCACGTCCTCCGTGGTCTGGACAGTTGTGATGTCTCCAGTTCTGGTCACATCATCTGACCTTTGCGAGAAAGGAAGTCCGTCACGATTTATCACGGGTAAGGCATCATAGGACACATTGCCTTCGAGTGAAGAAAGCTCTGACGGTTGGTCAGCTCCAGAAGTTGACTCCGATTGCTCCTGTTCACTAAACAATTCATGACCAGTCTCATCTTCTTCCATAGATTTTGTACTGGATTTCACAATAGCGTCAGTGCCTTCTGGAGCTTTTTCCAGAGTCATCATTGATTCAGCTTGGTCTGCCATACGCTGTACAAACGCGATATGATCGAGCTCAGCTTGTGTCAATATTTCGGCTGAGGTGCCCCTCTCTGATGGTACCACCACCACTCCTTCATCAACTTCCTTCAAATTCTGTTCTTGATGCGACCTACTCAAGGAAGCAGCTCGTGGTCTTGGTGTGTATGGAGCGTGTTCCAACTCCTCATCCATATTGGGTTTTGGATCAGTGACGTCGATTTGGTAGTGCAAACTATCTCTTATCGGAGGCGCTTTCTTGAGGGACTCTTCTGCCAACTTCTGTATATAAGCAATGTGATCCAGCTCCTCTTGTGTAAGTCCATTGTTGGTCAGATCCTCCTTTGGCGCTTTGCTCATAACCTCATCTGTGGCGGATGGTCCGGATGGTCTTTTCTTCTGTTTTTCCTCGAATGACATCTGTTCCGCTAATTTTTGTATGTTAGCAATATGGTCGAGCTCTTCTTGTGTGAGCTGACTATCAACTTGAGTTCCTGCCACGTCATCCTTGGGATGTTTGACTGGGATCTCGTCTTCCTCTAGCGATGAGACATCGGATAGTGATGGTTGGTCGGCTCCAGAGGTTGCCTCCGTTCCCTCTTGTTCGCTAAGTTCTTCCTGAGCGGACTCATCTTCTTCCGCGGATTCTCCAGTGGATTTAGAAAGAACATTAATGCTTTCTGGAGGTTCCTTTGAGGCAGCAAAGTCTGATTCAGCTCTGTCTGTCGTACGCTGCACAAAAGCGATGTAATCGAGCTCAGCTTGTGCCAGCGTTTTGGCTGAGGTGCTCGTCTCTAATGGCTCGCCAGTCTCTCTTCTGTCAGCTTCCTTCAAACTCTGTTCTTGGTGTGATCTACTCAAAGAGGGAGCACGTGGTCTTTGTGTACGTTGAGTATGTTCCGGCTCCTCTTCTAAATTTGGTTTTGAATCAGTTAGAGCAGTGTAATGAGAACCTGTCAACGGAGGCCCCTTGTCGATTGATTCATCTGCCAGTTTTTGTAAGTAAGCAATGTGATCCAGTTCTTCTTGTGTTAATTCAGGCATGACATCCTCCATTGGCGGTTTGGTCATCTCTCTATTTGGAGGTGGCTTTTTTGACTGTTTCTCCTCGAATGACATCTGTTCCGCTAATTTCTGTATGTATGTAATGTGGTCGAGCTCTTCTTGGGTAAGCTGATTATCTTCTCGAGTTCTTGCTACCTCATCTCTGGAATGTTTAACTGGGATCTCATCCTCCTCTAGCGACGAAACATCAGAAAGTGAAGGTTGATCAGCTCCTGAAGTAGCCTCTGATTCTTCCTGATCGCCATTCTCTTCCTGAATCTGTTCTTCAGCGCTAGGAGCTTCGCTGGAAACTTTTGTTGGTGACTTAACATCAGCAGTAGCCGCGATATCTTGCGAACTAGGCTGATGTTTTGTCTGGTATGCTTCATCTGCTAATTTTTGTATATATGCAATGTGATCCAGTTCCTCTTGGGTGAGCTGATTAGTAGCTGCGTCCAGAGTAGATTGCATGGGAGTTTCATTCTCAGAAGATTCCGGTTCCCATAAGTTCGTTAGCGAAGTCGTAATAGGTAGACGTTGTTCTTTATGCTTTGGCGATGCGAGCTCGGTTTCCGCATCTTGGGCTGGTACATCGGCAACATCTAGCGCAGAGCGATCTACAGACAAAATCTCGCCTTCCTTCTCACTGCTGTGTCTTGACAGTAAAGTCATTTCGCCATATCGCGATGGATAATCTTCTACTGGAGAAGCAATATCTGACGGCGTCATTTGATCTGCTCCAGATGTAGATTCTGACTCATCGTAAGGGCTTTCTTCTTTTTCGGGGAAATCACTTAATTTAGATGACGTGACCTCTCTGGCTCCTTCTGTAGGCTGCAATTTTGCTGTTGACTCTGTGCGGGTCTGAATTAGCTGGTCACTTCTTTGCGTTTCATCTGCAGGTTCCTGTGCGTCTGTGACTTCTTCTAGTTTTTCTTCTATCATAATGCCCCCATGAGATGACTCATTAGGAGATGCCTCATCGGCTCCAGGGGTGGAGATCGACCTTTCGTTGTCAACCAGCTCTTCCGTGGATATAGCGAAAATAGTTCGACTGTCATCCAAGGTCGGGTGTTCGCGCGTGGCCAGCATTTCCGACATTGAGTCTTTCTCCGATTTTTCGATAAAAGTGATTTTATCTTCCTGGTATGCTAATCTCGTGGTTGAAGGCTCCAAAATAGACGATTGCATGGGTGCCGCATCTGCGCTAAATGCTTGTACAGTATCTGGGATAGCTGAAGTAGTAGCTCCGAAATCAGAAGCTAATGTTTGAGGTTGTTCCATTCTTTCTTTTTCTATGTTTCTATCCATTAGAAATGGAGAAGATAAGGCAACATCTCTCTCCACACTTTGTTGCATTTCGGCTGATCTTTCTGTGATATCTCCGCTACTGAGGATTATACTGGGTTGCTCTTCAGTATAGCCCAGGTCTTCCTCTTCGCTGAGTCCCGGTGCGAGTTGTTCAGGTGAGGATTCTATGGATGTCGATTGATCGTCAGCTACAGAAGTTTCTCCAGAATCTTCATCTGCGCTGAGTTCGTGATGGAGTGTCTCTTCGAGTTCTGTAATGGCGGGTCCTGTTTCCGTAGTCGCACTGACTTCAGCTACGTCTTCCACTTCTGGTCTCAATTCCATCTGGGATTCTTCTGCCGCTTTCTGTATATATGCTATATGGTCCAGCTCTTCCTGTGTAAGCTGCACACTCTCAGCCTCTGTCGGCTGTTCAGCAGAAGCTGTTTCTGTATGAGTAAGAAAAGGAGATTTTTGCATCGTAGGATATCCCGATAGCGAATTTTCTGCCAAGCTTTGAATATACGCTATGTGATCCAATTCTTCCTGCGTAAGCTCAGGCTGTGTTAATGTTTTTGCTTCTGCAGAACCCACTGCGCTTTTGCTTCCAGTTTCTTCGACATTTTTTGCTGTTTTATCCTCGGTGCTTTCAGTCATGGAAGACCCTTGCAATAGCGAGGTCTGATCTTGTTCTGCGAGTCTCTGTATATACGCAATGTGATCTAATTCTTCTTGCGTTAGCGTTGGAGGTTGCTCAATTGGAGCGGTTATATCCATTCTATCCTCGCTTCGACCTAGTGGAGGCTTTTGCATTGGCACAGTCCCAAATGAAGATTGTTCTGCTAGTTTTTGTATGTAGGCGATATGATCCAGCTCTTCTTGAGTGAGCTGAGTAGTCTTTGGTGGTGATCTACTCGTGAATCTGTCCTCTGCTTGGCCTTCTAACAAAGGTGCATATTCTTCATCAGCTTTCTTACCAGTGACAACGTAATCGTCTTTCTCTGACAATGTTCCATAAGACGGCGGTGACTGATCTGCTCCCGAAGTTGGCTCAGATACTTCATCATCAAACGATTTTTCAAGTTCTGGGAAGTCTGCTGGTAATGAAGTAGCGCTCTCGACGTTCTTGTCTTTTCCTGCATCAAATTTCTGCATTAAGTTTGATGCGGTCGAAATCTCTTCCATAGGTTGCACCTGCGTCGTGCTATTTTGCTCTTCTGTATGGCTAAGCGTATCTGTTGCCTTTGGTGGTTCCACCGCAAACGATTCCTCAGCAAGCTTCTGTATGTACGCGATGTGATCCAATTCTTCTTGCGTTAACGTAATAGGTTGCTCAATTGGTCTGTTGACATCTGTCCTATCCTCAGGGCGATCTAGTGGAGGCTTTGGCATTGTGCTAATCTCAAATGACGATTGTTCTGCCATCTTTTGTATGAAAGCAATGTGGTCCAGCTCTTCTTGCGTAAGCTGATCCTCCTGTGGTGGTGAGCTTTTGATGGTCTCATCGTCAGCGCGATCATCTGGAACGTGTTCGTGTTCTTCATCAAATGGCCCAATGACTGTGCCTTCGTATTCTTCTTTCTCTAGCGATGTACCATAAGAGGGTGGTGACTGATCCGCTCCCGAAGTTGATTCTGATTTTTCTTCATCAAAAGACTCTTCAATTTCTTGTGATGGATTGGCTGATAGACGTGGAGTAGGTGCAGTTACAGTGACAGTAATCCCGTCTTCCTCTGCTCTCAAATTCTGCACAGTGGAAAAGGCTGAAACCTCATTTGTGGAATCCACTTGCGTCATATGAACTTGCTCTTCTGCATCAGTCAGGGTGATTTCTGCTCTTGGTTGTTCCAAGGCAAAGGACTCTTCAGCCATCTTCTGTATGCATGCGATGTGATCTAGTTCTTCTTGCGTCAACTCAGAAGAATGCTCCTTCGGACCCACCAGGACTGCTATAACCTCAGCCTCGGATGGTTCTAGTGGAAACTCTTGTGCGTTCGCACTGCGATCTTCTTCTTCAGTAAGCTGGTCTAGCTTTGATAGTGATATTGCTGCATAATTATCCTCAGCAAGTTCTTGCACGGAATGCAGGCGTTCTTCAATACCGAACTTTGGCCAGTTAGTGGTATCGTAGTCATCCTTCTCTTGCGAAGAACCGTAAGAGGGCGGTGATTGGTCAGCACCCGAAGTTGACTCCGACTTTTCTTCCGCGAATGGTTCTTCGTAATCTTGCGATGAGTCCTTCGGCATATGAGTATCAGCTACGATGTCGCGGTCTTCTCGCGCACCTGTTCTCTGCGATTCTTCCGACTCAACTAAAGCTCCATCATCCATGCCATATGTGAGTTCTTGCTTCTCTGCTTGGGTGGATACGATTGCACTTGATGGCTCCACGGTAAAGGATTCCTCAGCCAACTTCTGGATATATGCAATGTGATCCAATTCTTCTTGTGTCAGCGTAATAGGCTGTTCTGCTGGTATATCCATATGCGTCTTATCTTCTTCGCTTTCAAAACGAGACCGCGGTGTCATCTTAGCCTCAAAAGTGGATTGTTCGGCTAACTTTTGTATGTAGGCAATATGATCTAGTTCTTCTTGGGTAAGCTGATTCTCTGCTGACGCTGTCGGAGTCCGATCTCTCGTTTGATCTTGTATGAGATGCAGCTGTTTTTCGTCCTTATCATCCTCCATAATGGCGGCTCTATAGTCATCGTTCTCTAAGGAAGTATTATACGAAGTTGGCGAGTGATCAGCTCCCGAAGTAGCCTCCGATTCTTCGTCAGAGACAGGTTCTTCGCGGTCTTCCGGAATGTTCGTCTGTGATGGTTGTGGAACAGCAGCGATGAGGTCATCACCTTCTACTGCATTAGTCTTCCGCAACGCTTCCAACGATGTTATGGCTTCTTCCATTGTACTTGCGAGTTCTTGATTTTCAATTTCACTAATCATAGTTACATCTTTGGACGGACCCATAGCAAGGGATTCTTCGGCCAGCTTCTGTATGTATGCTATATGATCTAGTTCTTCTTGTGTTAGCTCAGCAGGTTGCTCTTCTGGTCTGCTCAAATCCAAGGTATTCGCTCGATCGGGTTGAGGTTTTTGTGTCTCCTTAGTCTCGAATGACGATTGTTCTGCAAGCTTTTGTATGTATGCAATGTGATCCATTTCTTCCTGGGTGAGCTCGGGCTCTGTCAGTGCTTCTGCAGGATGTTCCACTAGAGTTTTGCTTTCAGTGATTTCTTCAGCAATTTCTGCAGTTTTATCTTCTGCGCTTTCAGCTGTAGAAGTCCGTGGAAATAGCGAGAGCTGATCTTGCTCCGCAAGTTTTGCTATGTATGCAATGTGATCCAGTTCTTCTTGTGTTAGCGAGTCTGATTGCTTATTTGCACCAAACACATCTGTCCTATCCTCACTGCGTTCTACCGGAGGCTTTTGCATTGGTGCCTCGAATGAGGATTGTTCTGCCAGTCTCTGTATGTATGCGATGTGATCCAGTTCTTCTTGAGTAAATCGATCAGTCCTTGGTGGCGACGTACTCAAAATTCTATCCTCGGTTTGGTCCTTGACGAAGGGCAGGTGTTGCTCCGCTTCGCCCTTCTCAGCAACGTCAGCAGCGTAATCATCCTTCTCTAGTGAAGAACCATAAGAAGGCGGTGACTTGTCAGCACCCGAAGTTGGCTCAGAAATTTCATCGGAATATTTTTCGTCAACCTCAACTTGTCTTGCATCTAGTTCTTGCAATTCCTCTTGTCCGACTGCAGGTCCCTCAACTCCGGAAATATTAGAGCCACCTTGCTCTTTTGCTTGGCTTAGCACGACTACCTCTGGTTCCAAACCAAAGGATTCTTCAGCCAACTTCTGAATATATGCTATGTGATCTAGTTCCTCTTGTGTGAGTTCACCTGGTGCGGCTACGTCTGACGCCGGCTGTCTTGCAAGAATATCTGACATTTCTGGTAATTGCTCAGCATGGGAGGATAGTGGTGATTGCACTTCCCTTTCATCATCTACCTGCTCCCATACATGAAGATCCTGTCTGGGATCATCAGCTTGTTCCTTCGCAGATTCTTCGTATAGCGTTATCGCGTGCTCGTCCGTCACATCATCACGCTTTTCTGCGGCAAATCCTCCACCTTCGCTCATGGCAGCATCGTCATGATCTTCTGCGAGTTGTTCGACATCTTTTACATCCTCCTCCTTGGTTGGGAGAGCAATACTGTGCACAATATCCTGCTCTAGAGAAGATTTGGGTGGGTCCTCAGCTCCTAAGTCTGTAACATCGCCAGGTTCCTCATAAAAAGTAGCTCTTGGGACATCTTCAACATGCTCCGAGTACTGTTGGTTTTTATCTTCCGCATAAATGTCTGACGAAGGCAGCGACTGGCTAGCATGCACAGCGAGTTCTTCTTCGAGCGTATGATCCTCAGATAAAACTGATCCAATCTTGACATCATAAGCCGTGCTTCTCAAGAATGAGTAGGGCTCTGCGTCTGGAGCAATGTCAGCGATGGCTTCACGCTGGAAAAACTGCTTCCATTTTCCATCACTGATAATTGATTGTGCATTTGGATCTATAGAGACCTCTTTATAATCTGCTGCGAAGACCTCTCGAACTGGCTGGATTTCCAGCGAAGGCTTGTGCTCTCCATCATCGGCATGGTTGGAGTAATCCAGCTGCTCTTGTGTAGGATGGTCTATCTCTTCCTCACCTAGGGGAGATTTTGGTGAAGCATGAAATTCGAGATGTTCAAGCTCTTCCGAAAATTCTGTATGTGCACTGGGTTCTAACTTCTCTTGCATTTTCGGTGGTAAGCCTCCTAGTCCTGTCATTGATGCTTCTACGGCCGAGACCAACGAGATTTCTTCCACAAGTTTTTGTGCAATGCGACCGAGTTTTTCTTGCGCTTCGACCTCTTCTGTATGTGTTTTTGGATAAGTTGTGCTCTCATCATAATCCATCTCGGAGGGAATTTGTGCCTTCGTTTCAAGTAAACCTTGCTCTGCCAATCGTTGTGCATATGCGGTATGTTCTAGTTCTTCTCGGTTGAGTTGAACATCGTCCACCGAGTGAACGACGGTGGTATCATAGAAGTAATCAAGTGCGGAATGAGGCTCTTCGTCTTCAACCTCTCCCATTGTTGTGATGCCATAAGATGTATTGGTCTCATCGAAAGAGGAATGTACAGAGGGTGAGGCCTGGTCGGCCTCGGAGGTTAGGCCGGAGCCCTCATCAGAAAGCCTTTCACCTCTGTCAAAAGCTCTCATTTCAAGTGCTGAACGCATGGCTTCGACAAGCCCGACATGATCGTCTACTATCTCCACTATGGAAGATGTTGGCTGTTTGCTCACTGTACCATCTATTTTGATTACAGCAACCGCTGTTTGTCGGACCTCTGGGACATGTCCTCGATCTTTCCAAACCTGCAAGCTAGACTCCATTGCAGGAAGTCTCTCAAAAGTTTTTTCTATTGTGATAGTACGTTCAGATCTATGCTCATCGTTCACCGTGAAATCTTCTGGAGTCGGCATACTGAATGATTCCTCCGCAAGTTTCTGTATAAAAGCAATATGATCTAGCTCTTCCTGTGTAAGCTGCACAGGTTCCTCGATAGGCCCTTTCGCCACAAGAGCAGTGCTTGACAGCTCTGGATAAGCTTCTGCAGCTTCTTCTCGAGGACTTACTGTTACAGAAGGTTCTTGCAAGGCTGACATCTGCTCCTGCTCTGCCATTCTCTGTATATAAGCGATGTGATCTAGCTCTTCTTGAGTAAGCTGCACAGGTGCGCCCGCGCGTGATTCCGCTACAGGCGCAGTGGTTGCAATACTGCGAGCTTCCGCAGCTTCATTCTTAGCAGACGGTTTCTGCGCCGACATTAGTTCTTGTTCTGCCATCCTCTGTATGTAAGCGATATGATCGATCTCTTCCTGTGTGAGTGTTTCCTGCGGTGGTTGAATTGCAACAGTGGTACTTGGAAGGTCTGCGTGCTTTGCAGCTTCAGTACCAAACGAAACAGAAGGCTGCTGCGTTGAGATCTGTTCCTGCTCTGACGTCCTCTGTATATAAGCGATATGATCAAGTTCTTCCTGCGTAAGCTGCACAGATGTGTCCGTGGGTGCTCCCATTACAGGCACAGCGGCTGGTATGTCTGGATGAGTGAAGATTACCGAGGTTTCTTTTTCTTCTTTGGTGGAGACAGGTTTTTGGAGAACTGACAGTTGTTCTTGCTCTGCCATCCTCTGTATATAAGCAATGTGATCAAGCTCCTCTTGTGTAAGTGGCACAGGTGCGTCTGTGGGTATTTCTCTTACAGGTACAGCGGGTGAATTGTCTGTGTAGGCTACCGCTGCTTCTTCCTCAGCTGTGATGGGCACAGGCTTCCACAAAACTGGCATTTGTTCTTGCTCTACCATTCTCTGTATGTAAGCGATGTGATCTAGCTCTTCTTGTGTAAGTTCCACAGGCTCGTAGACAGGGGGCTCCGGTGCACGTGGCACGCTTGTCGCAATTTCTTCTACAGCTGTAGTGGACACAAAAGGCTTTTGTGGAACTGACAGTTGTTCTTGTTCTGCCATCCTTTGTATGTAAGCGATGTGATCAAGTTCTTCTTGTGTAAGTGGCGGAGGCGCGCCCTTGGGTGTTTCCGTTACAGGTGTCGCGGCTGGTATGTCTGGCTCTGAAACGATTACCGTAGCCTTTTCCCCAACGATGGTGGGCATGGATTTGTTGGAAAGTGATGACTGCTCTTGCTCTGCCATTCTTTGTATGTAAGCGATGTGATCTAGCTCTTCTTGTGTGAGTTCCACAGGTGCGTAGGCAGGTGGTTCCAATGCAGGTGAAACGCTTGTCGCGGTTTCTTTTAAAGCTGTAGTGGACACAGAAGGCTTTTGCAAAACTGGCAGTTGTTCTTGTTCTGCCATCCTTTGTATGTAAGCTATGTGATCAAGTTCCTCTTGTGTGAGCTGCACAGTAACATTAGCGGATGGTTCCTCTCCCTCTCCCGGGAAAACAGCACTCTCTGGTTGAGGTTGAGCTTCCGCAGCTTCCTTCTCGGTTATGATGGATACGGAGGGTAGCAGAACTGTTTGTTTTTGCTCTGCCATCTTCTTTATGTAAGCGATATGATCTAGCTCCTCCTGAGTGAGAGTGATGGGATCTGTAGACGGCTTCAAATCGCCTTCATCTTCGCTTTGATCTATCGCAAAAGGCTTTTGTAATGCTACATTAGAGAAGGACTGTTCCGCCAATTTCTGAATGTAGGCGATGTGATCGAGCTCCTCCTGAGTAAAAATGTCATTTTCAGTTGTTTGTTCTCGTTTTTCATGCTCAACGTGATCTTCGCTATCATATACTGGACTGTCTTCTATAACAACGTTTTCCGCGGCATAAACATAATTGCTATCCTCCAGAGAAGAGTTGCTGGATGATGGCTTGTCAGCTCCAGATGTAGGTTCCGAAATTTCATCGTCGCTGTAATGTTCAGGGGAAGCTGTTTCCGAACTTGGACCTTTTGCTTCAAATTCTATGGTGACATCTTGCGCATCCGCTTCCACTTGCTTTGCTTTCACTTCGGACGGTGGACTTCCCGGTAGAATTCGCTGATATTTGGACATGTCTCGATATTCCTTGTCCTTCTCAATTTCCTCGGACATGTAGTGTAGATTGGATGTTTCAGTTCCTAACACTGAAGCAATAACATCCTCAGTTTGTGTTTTTGATGTATCGACGCATGATTCCAAGGGCATTTCTAAAATACCAGGGACGTATGCAGTATTTTCCAAGGCATCTTGGGTTAGTTGACCGGTCGCATCTTCAGCATTTGTTGTAGCCTTATCTCCTCTCACAAAGTCAGACTCAAAATCAACGATTTTGCTTGGTAAAATTGTATCAGTATTGTGGATGTCATCTTCACTAGAGCGATCAAAGGACTGTTTTTGTACGGGATTGGATATTTCATTCATACCTTCTTCATGTTCTTCTGAGATCCTTGCGCTGCCTTGCAATATGCTACCTGCACCAAACCGAGTGATTCTGACAACTTCGCTACGACTGGATGTAAAAGGCATTCTCAAAGCCGGCGTTCCAAAAGAGGTCTCTTCTGCTACTTTCAACATATGAGCTATATGAGCCAGTTCTTCTGCTGTGAGATGCATGAAGTTGTCCGCTTGGTTTGATGCGTCTACTTCAACTTCCGCATTTTCTTCAGTAGGGTTTTCTTTCTTGACAGTGGGCTCTGCGCGAGTAGTAGCCAGGTAGTTCTCATCTTCAACCGTCGACTTCTTCGGAAGGACGAAGTCAGATGCTTGAAAGTCTCTTAGTTCTTCACGCATCGTTCCAGTTCCTCCGGGGAACACATTTTCCCGTTCAGTCAGTTTCGTTTCGGACACTGTGCCAGCACTGGATTTTCTAGAAAATGTTTCTGTTTCAAATAGAGTTCCATCGCTAGGATTTTGAATATAATCTTGAACAAATTCTTGTTTTCCCGCATATCCTATCTCGGGTTGCTGGCCATAGGTAGTATCGTCAAGCCGGTCTCTTGAAGTCGCTCTATCATTAACTTGATCTGTTTGACCAAAGTGAGAATTCAGCAAGCCTTCAGCAATACTTCCATCCTGAGTTTCCATATATCTGCTCGAACTCCCACTTGTTGCTCGCATGGATGTCGACTCGTCTATAACAGGAATGGTTGACGGGAATGAGGGAAGAGACACATCAAAGACAGGAAAGACACTTTCATCCTTTTCCAAGTCACTCAAGATAATGTCCTTCTTGGCATCATCAAATGAAGAATCACCTTTGCTTCCGCTCAACAACGTTCTCACATTCCTCCGCGATATCTCATCCATACAACCGCATGCTTCCGCTTCCGTACCCACATTTACGCTTATCACTTCACTCACGAGCTCTTTGCCTTCATCCACTGTCACTCCTTCTTCCATAAAATTCTGTAAAATATAATCGGGGTCTTCACCCGCAATAAATAATGGCATTTGCGAAGCTGCTGATTTCAAGAAACGATGAGGAGCGCCCTCGAGTGAAGAAGATAGTTCGGATGGTGGTTCTTTGTCAGCACCTGAGGTGGCTTCGGACTCTTCTCTGGCAAGTTCCTTAGGCACAGTTATCGACTCCGCTTCGACATATAATTCTTCAGCCGCTCGTTGGACTTCGGCGATGTGATCCAACTCTTCTTGTGTGAGCAGTTCGTCATGTGCTTCTTCCACAATACTTGCTGGAGGTGGAGGTCTGGCAGGTGCTGCTATTGGCTTCGTTTCGTCTTCTTCCAGAAGAGGTGAGGATCTCTCATATTCGGGAAGGCCTTCAAGTGGAGAAGATAGTTCGGATGGTGGCTCTTTGTCAGCACCTGAGGTGGCTTCGGACTCTTCTTTGGCAAGTTCCTTAGGCACAGTTATCGACTCCGTTTCGACATATAATTCTTCAGCCGCTCGTTGGACTTCGGCGATGTGATCCAACTCTTCTTGTGTGAGCAGTTCGTCATGTGCTTCTTCCAGAAGACTTGCTGGAGGTGGAGGTCTGGCAGGTGCTGCTATTGGCTTCGTTTCGTCTTCTTCCAGAGGAGGTGAAGATCTCTCATATTCGGGAATGCCTTCAAGTGGAGAAGATAGTTCGGATGGTGGCTCTTTGTCAGCACCTGAGGTGGCTTCGGACTCTTCTCTGGCAAGTTCCTTAGGCACAGTTATCGACTCCGTTTCGACATATAATTCTTCAGCCGCTCGTTGGACTTCGGCGATGTGATCCAACTCTTCTTGTGTGAGCAGTTCGTCATGTCCTTCTTCCAGAAGACTTGCTGGAGGTGGAGGTCTGGCAGGTGCTGCGACTGGCTTCGTTTCGTCTTCTTCCAGAAGAGGTGTGGACCTCTCATATTCGGGAATGCCTTCAAGTGGAGAAGATAGTTCGGATGGTGGCTCTTTGTCAGCACCTGAGGTGGCTTCGGACTCTTCTCTGGCAAGTTCCTTAGGCACAGCTATCGACTTCGCTTCGACATATGATTCTTCAGCCGCTCGTTGGACTTCGGCGATGTGATCCAACTCTTCTTGTGTGAGCAGTTCGTCATGTGCTTCTTCGACAAGACTTGCTGGAGCTGGAGGTCTGGCAGGTGCTGCGAGTGGCTTCTTTTCGTCTTCTTCCAGAAGAGGTGTGGACCTCTCATATTCGGGAATGCCTTCAAGTGGAGAAGACAGTTCGGATGGTGGTTCTTTGTCAGCACCTGAGGTGGCTTCGAACTCTTCTCTGGCAAGTTCCTTAGGCACAGTTATCGACTTCGCTTCGACATATGATTCTTCAGCCGCTCGTTGGACTTCGGCGATGTGATCCAACTCTTCTTGTGTGAGCAGTTCGTCATGTGCTTCTTCCAGAAGACTTGCTGGAGGTGGAGGTCTGGCAGGTGCTGCGAGTGGCTTCGTTTCGTCTTCTTCCAGAAGAGGTGTGGACCTCTCATATGGAATGCCTTCAAGTGGAGAAGATAGTTCGGATGGTGGTTCTTTGTCAGCACCTGAGGTGGCTTCGAACTCTTCTCTGGCAAGTTCCTTAGGCACAGCTATCGACTTCGCTTCGACATATGATTCTTCAGCCGCTCGTTGGACTTCGGCGATGTGATCCAACTCTTCTTGTGTGAGCAGTTCGTCATGTGCTTCTTCGACAAGACTTGCTGGAGCTGGAGGTCTGGCAGGTGCTGCGAGTGGCTTCTTTTCGTCTTCTTCCAGAAGAGGTGTGGACCTCTCATATTCGGGAATGCCTTCAAGTGGAGAAGACAGTTCGGATGGTGGTTCTTTGTCAGCACCTGAGGTGGCTTCGAACTCTTCTCTGGCAAGTTCCTTAGGCACAGTTATCGACTCCGTTTCGACATATGATTCTTCAGCCGCTCGTTGGACTTCGGCGATGTGATCTAACTCTTCTTGTGTGAGCAGTTCGTCATGTGCTTCTTCGACAAGACTTGCTGGAGCTGGAGGTCTGGCAGGTGCTGCGAGTGGCTTCTTTTCGTCTTCTTCCAGAAGAGGTGTGGACCTCTCATATTCGGGAATGCCTTCAAGTGGAGAAGACAGTTCGGATGGTGGTTCTTTGTCAGCACCTGAGGTGGCTTCGAACTCTTCTCTGGCAAGTTCCTTAGGCACAGTTATCGACTCCGTTTCGACATATGATTCTTCAGCCGCTCGTTGGACTTCGGCGATGTGATCCAACTCTTCTTGTGTGAGCAGTTCGTCATGTGCTTCTTCGACAAGACTTGCTGGAGCTGGAGGTCTGGCAGGTGCTGCGAGTGGCTTCTTTTCGTCTTCTTCCAGAAGAGGTGTGGACCTCTCATATTCGGGAATGCCTTCAAGTGGAGAAGACAGTTCGGATGGTGGTTCTTTGTCAGCACCTGAGGTGGCTTCGAACTCTTCTCTGGCAAGTTCCTTAGGCACAGTTATCGACTCCGTTTCGACATATGATTCTTCAGCCGCTCGTTGGACTTCGGCGATGTGATCCAACTCTTCTTGTGTGAGCAGTTCGTCATGTCCTTCTTCCAGAAGACTTGCTGGAGGTGGAGGTCTGGCAGGTGCTGCTATTGGCTTCGTTTCGTCTTCTTCCAGAAGAGGTGTGGACCTCTCATATGGAATGCCTTCAAGTGGAGAAGATAGTTCGGATGGTGGTTCTTTGTCAGCACCTGAGGTGGCTTCGGACTCTTCTCTGGCAAGTTCCTTAGGCACAGCTATCGACTTCGCTTCGACATATGATTCTTCAGCCGCTCGTTGGACTTCGGCGATGTGATCCAACTCTTCTTGTGTGAGCAGTTCGTCATGTGCTTCTTCGACAAGACTTGCTGGAGCTGGAGGTCTGGCAGGTGCTGCGAGTGGCTTCTTTTCGTCTTCTTCCAGAAGAGGTGTGGACCTCTCATATTCGGGAATGCCTTCAAGTGGAGAAGACAGTTCGGATGGTGCTTCTTTGTCAGCACCTGAGGTGGCTTCGAACTCTTCTCTGGCAAGTTCCTTAGGCACAGTTATCGACTTCGCTTCGACATATGATTCTTCAGCCGCTCGTTGGACTTCGGCGATGTGATCCAACTCTTCTTGTGTGAGCAGTTCGTCATGTGCTTCTTCCAGAAGACTTGCTGGAGGTGGAGGTCTGGCAGGTGCTGCGAGTGGCTTCGTTTCGTCTTCTTCCAGAAGAGGTGTGGACCTCTCATATGGAATGCCTTCAAGTGGAGAAGATAGTTCGGATGGTGGTTCTTTGTCAGCACCTGAGGTGGCTTCGGACTCTTCTCTGGCAAGTTCCTTAGGCACAGTTATCGACTTCGCTTCGACATATGATTCTTCAGCCGCTCGTTGGACTTCGGCGATGTGATCCAACTCTTCTTGTGTGAGCAGTTCGTCATGTGCTTCTTCCAGAAGACTTGCTGGAGGTGGAGGTCTGGCAGGTGCTGCGAGTGGCTTCGTTTCGTCTTCTTCCAGAAGAGGTGTGGACCTCTCATATGGAATGCCTTCAAGTGGAGAAGATAGTTCGGATGGTGGTTCTTTGTCAGCACCTGAGGTGGCTTCGGACTCTTCTCTGGCAAGTTCCTTAGGCACAGTTATCGACTCCGCTTCGACATATAATTCTTCAGCCGCTCGTTGGACTTCGGCGATGTGATCCAACTCTTCTTGTGTGAGCAGTTCGTCATGTGCTTCTTCCAGAAGACTTGCTGGAGGTGGAGGTCTGGCAGGTGCTGCGAGTGGCTTCGTTTCGTCTTCTTCCAGAAGAGGTGTGGACCTCTCATATGGAATGCCTTCAAGTGGAGAAGATAGTTCGGATGGTGGTTCTTTGTCAGCACCTGAGGTGGCTTCGGACTCTTCTCTGGCAAGTTCCTTAGGCACAGTTATCGACTCCGCTTCGACATATAATTCTTCAGCCGCTCGTTGGACTTCGGCGATGTGATCCAACTCTTCTTGTGTGAGCAGTTCGTCATGTGCTTCTTCCAGAAGACTTGCTGGAGGTGGAGGTCTGGCAGGTGCTGCTATTGGCTTCGTTTCGTCTTCTTCCAGAAGAGGTGAAGATCTCTCATATTCGGGAATGCCTTCAAGTGGAGAAGATAGTTCGGATGGTGGCTCTTTGTCAGCACCTGAGGTGGCTTCGGACTCTTCTCTGGCAAGTTCCTTAGGCACAGTTATCGACTCCGCTTCGACATATGATTCTTCAGCCGCTCGTTGGACTTCGGCGATGTGATCCAACTCTTCTTGTGTGTGCAGTTCGTCATGTGCTTCTTCCAGAAGACTTGCTGGAGGTGGAGGTCTGGCAGGTGCTACGATTGGCTTCGTCTCGTCTTCTTCCAGAAGAGGTGTGGTCCTCTCATATTCGGGAATGCCTTCAAGTGGAGAAAATAGTTCGGATGGTGGTTCTTTGTCAGCACCTGAGGTGGCTTCGGACTCTTCTCTGGCAAGTTCCTTAGGCACAGTTATCGACTCCGCTTCGACATATAATTCTTCAGCCGCTCGTTGGACTTCGGCGATGTGATCCAACTCTTCTTGTGTGAGCAGTTCGTCATGTGCTTCTTCCAGAAGACTTGCTGGAGGTGGAGGTCTGGCAGGTGCTGCTATTGGCTTCGTTTCGTCTTCTTCCAGAAGAGGTGAAGATCTCTCATATTCGGGAATGCCTTCAAGTGGAGAAGATAGTTCGGATGGTGGCTCTTTGTCAGCACCTGAGGTGGCTTCGGACTCTTCTCTGGCAAGTTCCTTAGGCACAGCTATCGACTTCGCTTCGACATATGATTCTTCAGCCGCTCGTTGGACTTCGGCGATGTGATCCAACTCTTCTTGTGTGAGCAGTTCGTCATGTGCTTCTTCCAGAAGACTTGCTGGAGGTGGAGGTCTGGCAGGTGCTGCGAGTGGCTTCGTTTCGTCTTCTTCCAGAAGAGGTGAAGATCTCTCATATTCGGGAATGCCTTCAAGTGGAGAAGATAGTTCGGATGGTGGCTCTTTGTCAGCACCTGAGGTGGCTTCGGACTCTTCTCTGGCAAGTTCCT